TTCATTCAGAATATTTTTGAAAAAGTTTTTTCCATTCTTTGGTGACACTTCTTTAAAATCGTAAAAGCTGTCGTAGGTTACTTAATTAACTGCGAATGGTTTACCGTTAGATTGAGCAGTTCTATTTAAAGTAAAATACTGATGGCGGTTGAGAATATCCACTACCCCATATCTTCCCGTGGGTGTCGTAAGAGGCGACAGAGGGAGACAGGCAGGAGATGGGCAGCAGCATCTTCCTGATAACAGCAATGATATAATAAAAAACTGTGGTTGCCAACCCGCTCGCCAATCGTGGCAACTATGGCAAATATCCCCCCATGAGTAACGACGCAAACAAACGGCCCCCAGTCCCCGGCGGCCCCGCTATTCCCGGCTACGGTGGCGACCATGGTGACGGCGGGGCAGGGGGTGCTAAGAATCTCCGGTGGAGGTTCGGTTGCCACCTACGACGACTCGACCTGGCAACATATAACGCACGCACCCTGAGGACCTGACTGAGAAGATACTGGAGTTGGAAGAAGAGGTAGACAAGTTGCGCTGGCATATTATTGGGTTATCAGAGGTCCGAAGAGAGGGGAGGACACGGTAATCCTCGAGTCCGGCAATTAGTTCTATCACCGGGAGGGCGACCATCTGTCCCAAGGAGGTGTCAGATTTATCGTCCACAAGTCTCTCGTCAACAACGTTGTAAAGATTGGGAGTGTGTCGACGAGGGTCGCGTACCTGATACTCAGAATCACCAAACGGTATTCGCTGAAGGTCATACAGGTTTAAGCACCAACCTCGGCACATCCCGATGAGGAGGTGGAGGAAATGTATGAGGATATTTCTAGAGCCATGCATTCCTCCAAAACCCACTACACGGTGTTGATAGGAGACTTAAACGCAAAACTAGGCACAAGAGAAAGCGGTGAGCTGAAGTTAGGGAAATTTGGAGTAGGGCAACGGAACCGTAGGGGCCAGCAGCAGGCCGACTGCATGGAGAAAGAGGGACTCTTTATGATGAACTCTTTCTTCCAGAAGCGGCCCCACAGGAAGTTGACCTGCTCGAGCCCCGACGGTTCGACAAAAAATGAAATTGACTTCATTATGACGACCAGACGCCAACTGTTCAGTGATGTGTCAGTGATCGCAAGGGTGAAAACTGGCAGCGATCACCGAATGGTTAGAGGCACACTGAATCTAAACGTTAAGTTGGAGAGGTCTCGGCTAATGAAGTCAATGCTCCGTCCCCCTCGTGCTCTAATCCAGAATCCCGAAACCTTTCAGCTCGAGTTACGTAACCGCTTTCAGTGCCTAGAAGATTGCAATGCAGTGGACGATATGAATGACAAGCTCGTGGAAACTGTCCATGCGGTCGGAGCTAAGTTCTGCAAGACCGGCCGCAGAAGAACACAAAAGCTCTCCGATCACACTTTTAATCCCATGGCTGTTAGACGGGAGATGAGGCTGCAAACGTCAACAGCTTTGACAGCATACAGGCAACTGAACAGACAGATCTCCAAATGCATGCGGCGAGACTTACGCAAATTTAATACTGCTCGTATTAAAGACGCGATTGAGCGGAACCAGGGCTCCAAAGTCTTTGCCAGAGATCTGTCTGCCAGTAAGAGCCAACTGTCAAAGCTGAAGACTGAGTGTGGCAGCATCGTTTCCGGGATACCCGAGATTTCTGAGTGAGATTGAGAGGTTTTATGGGCAGCTGTACACATCATCGTTGGAGCCACACGCAAGTGTGAGTAACGATCCAAGAGCGGGTCTTATCCGACACTATTCCGATGATATCCCGGACGTCAGTCTGAGCGAGATTAGAATGGCTCTCCAGTACCTTAAAAACGGCAAGTCCCCGGGCGAGGATGGAATTACAGTGGAGCTTCTGAAAGCGGGTGGAAAACCGGTACTTGAAGTCCTTCAGAGGCTCTTTAATTCCGTCCTCCACGGTGGCACTACTCCGGAGGCGTGGAGCAGAAGTGCGGTGGTCTTGTTCTTCAAGAAAGGTGACAACGCCCTCTTGAAGAACTACAGACCGATATCCCTTCTGAGCCGCGTCTACTTGCTGTTTTCGAGAGTCATTACGAATCGTCTCGCACGCAGACTCGACGACTTCCAGCCTCCCGAACAAGCCGGTTTCCGAAAAGGTTTTAGTACCATAGACCACATACATACCCTTCGGCAAATTGTACAGAAGTCCGAAGAGTACAATCTGCCACTTTGCCTGGCGTATGTGGACTATGAGAAAGCCTTTGATTCCGTCGAAATTTGGGCGGTGCTACAGTCTCTTCAGCGGTGCCAAGTTGACTGTCGGTATATCGAAGTGCTGAAGTGTTTGTACAGTAGAGCTACGATGGCTATCAGAGTACAGAACCAGAGTACGAAACCTATACAACTGCAGAGAGGTGTAAGACAGGGTGACGTTATTTCCCCCGAAACTCTTCACCGCTGCATTGGAAGACGTTTTCAAGCTACTGGACTGGAAAGGATACGGTATTGACATCAATGGCGAGTACATCACTCACCTTCGATTTGCCGACGATATAGTCCTTGTGGCAGAATCGCTGGCGGACTTAAGCACTATGCTCAATGACCTCAATAGTGCCTCCCAACGGATAGGTCTTAAGATGAACATGGACAAAACAAAGATCATGTTTAATGTCCATGCCGGTAGTTGTTGGGAGCACTAAGCTCGAAGTTGTTGACGAGTACGTTTACCTGGGACAAATAGTCCGGCTAGGTAAGTCCAACTTCGACCGAGAGGTCAATCGACGGATTCAACTCGGCTGGGCAGCGTTCGGGAAATTACAACGCATCTTCTCGTCAGGTATACCTCAAAACCTGAAAACTAAGTTGTACAACCAGTGCGTGTTGCCAGTGATGACATACGGAACTGAGACGTGGTCCTTCACTGCTGGCCGTATGAGGACTCTGAAAGTCGCTCAGCGAGCTATGGAGAGGGCTATGCTCGGAGTTTCTCTGCGTGATAAACTTAGAAATGAGGATATCCGCAGCAGAACCAGAGTGACCGACATAGCCCAACAGATTAGTAACCTGAAGTGGCAATGGGCCGGCAATATAGCTCGAAGAACCGACAACCGTTGGGGAAAAAAGGTTCTCGAGTGGCAGCCTCGTACCGGTAGACGAAGTGTAGGGCGACCCCCCACTAGATGGAGTGACTACCTGGTAAGATATGCAGGAAGTCGATGGATGCAGGTGGCTCAGGACCGTGCTTTGTGGCATACCTTGGGGGAGGCCTATGTTCAACAGTGGACTTGTAAAGGGCTGTAATGATGATGATGATGATGACTGATCAGGTGTATAATATATCGTAGTGGAACGAAGGGTCTTTTTAATTTTTCTTTCAATTAGAGAATGGCAATTATCACCATCATTTTGGGTATGTCCCTTAATTAGGAATTTGTAAGTAATAGAACGAATATTTTGAAATCTATTTACCGCTAAGATGTACATTGAAATCATGAAACGGTTTTTCTGCTACCCGCAGCAATCATCACTGTAGAATATTACATCAACAAATTGCTCAGCCTTTGTGTCATTTTGGTTAAGATAATTCCACACGCAAGTTGCAATCTCATTCACACCACGACAACGATGCCCTTCGTGCCATACATTACAATAAACATTTACTTTAGAGATGTAATAAAAGTTACTTACGTCCCCCCTTTGACAAGGCATTGTTGCTTGTAAATCATGGACAGCGACTACCACACTGTTCCCTTTCAATTTGTCTTGTTCCTTCTTTGCTCTCGATAGATCTTTTTCTACTAAATGTGTATCATACTCAACTTTAAGATGTTGTTTTTCTTCCCCGGTAACATTCATGATAGCCTCACAAGTATCACACCTATCTTTTTTTATGTTAATAAAAGGCAATATTAAACTCATTATTAAATATATGACTATACAAAACATAGTTACCATTATTGTATTTATGGGTATTTCACCACTAAAACACAATTTGAATTCATATCTTTTTATTTATTGACAACAACTTCTATTCATAGTTTTTTTCATAAGCCTACAATATGGCTTTCATACTCTACAATCTCTCCACCACTAAATATAAAAAAACATAAGTAATGATAAAAATGCATAATAAATCATGTAATTTTTTTAGAATTTATATTTTGGACTCGGATTTATAGTTGAGCGGAGAGGCAGCCCTTGCATTGGTACCTCTAAATGTTGATTGGATTTACTGCCAGAATTTTAGCCCTCTTCTCCTCTTAATAACAAGGAGTCTAATATGATGATCTGTGCTCAACATATTAAAAAAAAATCTAAATTACTGAAATCTAAATCATATTCAGTCTGACATAACTTAACGTAATCTCTGTGGAGATCAATCAATGTTTTACTGCCATCAATATAAAGCTTATTAGTGTTACTGCGACAGTAATGGCGCTAGTAATATATAAATCAATGAATGGCTGTCCGTAGTCGGAATAGATTGTATGTGCTCCCTTATTTCGGATTTAATAATATTCGGTATTTTGGCATGATTTCCATGATTTCCTCTACCATCTATAGCTACAACGTTACTTATTGTAGGTATACGCTTTTCAAAGGCAGTCCTTATTACGCGACCATTTAAGGCAATTGTGGCTTTAAAGAACGTTTTACAAACACGTACTTTATTATTTTGAACCGAAAAATGAAATGCATTGTTGCTCTGCCTAGGATTTGCCGCATTTGCGTATTTATATTTCGGATTAATTATAGTAGTGCTGTTTATAATAAATTGTCTCTGCGTCGTTATGTTGCCCAAATTGTAATTTTCACGACAGATGTTCTGTCTTTCTTCTTCTGACACATTTGCAGAACATTTTAGACGGCACTTCTCACCACATGGTGGCCCTACATTTCTGGCTGGAATGACTTTTTTTAGTTTTTTTTATGTGTAGCTTTGACCTGTGTTCCTTAAACGTTTCGCGACTTCCGATTTCCAGTCGTTTATATTTCTTTGTCGTTTACGTGTGAGTTTTATGTTCAAATCTAAGTTTTCAACCAAAGAGTCTGCAAGTGGAATGATTTCGATGCAAGAGACGTGTAATGCAGGTGGAATTTTTTCGCGGTGGGCGGAATGTGAGCGTATACTAGAAGCTGATTATGATGAACTGGAATTGGAGGATCTGGAGCTGGAAGATGAACTTGAATCCGTTGATGATATTGACGCTGATCTATGTCTAAAGTTCCAATGTTAGATATGCCTAAAATATAAATAAAAATTTAAATGATAAATATACCTAAATATAACTAGATGAAGGAATTACTAATATTAGGACGGAACCATTAATATCAGTAATATTTGCATCGTCTTTCAAACAATTTTCAATAGCACTGGATGCTGGAATACTATGATCTGGAGCATTTATATTTTCAATCAAATTAGTTTGTACATTTTCTATAATAGGGAAAATAAATAAAAAAATGAACTTTATAAATGCGGCATAGCGGAACAACTAGAAATACGTGTCATTGCAATACTTACATTTTGAGTTCTTCATGTTACTCGTATTTTAATCAAAAGAAAAATAATGATTATTTTAATAATATTATAAATGTGAAAGTTAGGATGTTTAGGTATTACTCAATAACGTCAGAATGGTTGAATAGATCCGGATAAAATACAACGCCTTCTTGTGTTCGATATTGAGCAAAACGGCAAAACCAGTAAAAGTTATATTATTGCCTATTATAAAAAATTACTATTCTTGCCATTTGGATCAGATTCGCATGCGAAATCAACATTTTCTAAACATTCGATATAGCCAGGGCCTTGTTCATCTAAGCTAGTGTCAAGATTTTCGGATGAGTTCAAATTATATTGACGGTTATTTGATGTCTCACCCTGTGCTACTTTACATTTTCGAATATTATCTAGTCTCTTCTGTGGTATCATTCTGAAATAAGGAATATGAAAGTGAAGATCATAGACAGAATTAGACAAACTGCTATCTAAATTAAATAGTTGTAAACAGAACATCGTAGTTTTTACCTTTGATACATTAACATCAACTAAAATTCAAATGAACACCGACACATTTTGTAATAATACTTGAATAAGATACAACTTATGGCAAATAAAGTGTCAAACAAAAAAATACACAAAACTTTTAATAGATCATAGGGCATAACTGAAAATAATACTTTGTTCATTTAAATGTGGGTACACTAAGCGTTACGTTGTAGTGAAGAATACATGTTAATTTTCGTGTTATAACTCTGTTCTAAATATGATTTGGAAAATAAAATACTTAAAGAAAAATACAGCAAGAAATCACAATAATACACTTTTCTTCTTATGGTAAAACCGAATCTATGCATCATTAATAAATAATACTCTGTTTCAAATAACAACACGGGTCAAACTAGTTCAAGGATAGGAGCAACATTGAACGTGTCGTCCTTCCTTTTTCTAGCGGAACAGAAAGCGCGAGAAGGATATAGATGCAACTTGCGTAATTGGTTCATTCAAGGTGAAAGCGATTTTCGACCTAATTTCAAAGGTAGAACGTACTGTTTTTAGTCGAACTGTATTATTAAGTCAGTGCCAAATTTTGACATAATACTATATTCTTCAGGACAAGCGATATTATATTTTGGATAAACAACAAGTGACTAGTAAAATGTGGTATGTAGTTACACTAGGTACACTAAATTGCGCTTTTTATACCAAACGAGTCTAAGCAATAAAATTAAAGTGCTTTTACTAGAGTGTTTAGTTTAGTAGTTTTTCTAGACTGCCTAATTTCACCAACGATGAAAAACCCTATTAGCAGCCCTAATAATGAGTAACCTATTGTGGAATCGAAAGCAACTACGGCAAGTCAGTCGAAAGAAAGAAAGCTGCACGGGAGTCCATAACGCAAGAGTTTAATTGCCAAGTTTATGTTCACAAGGTACATAAACTTACACTTTCTTTAATCATTTTATAAGCTATCGGGATCATTGGTTTCTATAAATTACTAAGATGTTATATGTTTGTTATTTGTTATGCACTTGTACCTTGGTAAATGAAAACAATATTAACTTCCAGCGTGGTACCATTAATTTAAAGAGGGCATGGGATAATATGAAGGCTTTTACACGTTAAGTTCGTGCAGCTGAACGTGGTAGTTTATTTAAAACTGGAGGTGGACGCGCTAAACCTACGCCACCTCCACACCAAAGAGCCATTATAAGCATGGTAGAAGAAGTAGGTATAATTATAAATTTTGTTAAAAAAAAGCATTAGCAGCTTTTCATCACATTATTATTTTAAGGCAGCACCTGCAATAATTTGTGAATTTAAAAATTCATATGACAGTGATGGATGCCTATTAAGTTCACTTGGAAAGGAGTAAGTGAAATACGCTAATTGCAAAATAGGTATATTATAACTTTATATCATTTATAAAAATATGACCCAAATCATCTACACACTTAATTCAAACGATCTCTTTAAAATATCTACCTACGGATATGCATGGAGCCCAAAATCTAAAGAGCTATAGTCAACCAAATCTAAGAAATACGTTTTGACGTTTCACATCAATCGTTCCGCAATAACTTTGCATAAGCATACTCACACGATTTAAAATAGCCTTTTACGTAAATCCGAATTATGAAGTTATCTTTATTTCATTACAACATGTATAGTTTTTTATCACTAATTTAAATTTGAATTTATCAAACAAAGCAAAATATTAAAAAATAAACAGTATTAACTTTTTTTACGAAGACGTCGTTTCAATGATATGTCGCTTTTTATATTACCTTACTGTTTGGATGATTAAAATTCATTGTTATGACAATAATCGGCAGAATATTCAAATAATCGAATCATTAATTTTTTAATGTATTATTTGTTTAATTTAATTGTTATTTTCAAAATTCCTTAGATTACATAGATCATGAAAAAAACTATTTTATTTTTTTACTTTGCAAAGTAAATTTGTGTAGGCAAAAAAGCTCATAGGCAATGCCGTGTCGTATCCCGCCATTTCGGTGCCAGTTACTCGACTCCACAGAATCAGTAATTCATTCCTGGGACGATGTTTGTATGCTTTTATAACAACATCCAAGAAAATATACAAAATTTGACGTAAGTACAAAAAGTTCAAAAACTTTATTAAACTAAGTTTGTATAAAAAGGTTTATTTTAATATTAAGGAATTTATGGATGAGAATAACCCCTAGAAAAGGTGATTGCTACCAAGCCATTTCTAATTTGTTCTTTTTGTTTAATGTAAAAATAAAAGACTTAATAAATATTATTGTATTTTATTTCTTTATATCTAAATAAACGTTAATAATGGTTTAAATTTATGTACATGGTCACATTGTGAACATGTACACAAGTTTTGAACCAATAAATATAAATTTTGACAAAGTTCTGAGAGGATATTTACAGCCACTGGCTACTAGGCTGAAACAAATAAATGCCTTTGCCTTAGATAAATTTAAAAACGTAAATGTCACTTTCCATTTTTGAGGCCCGCTCGGGCTCGCTATAGACCGTAGACAGAGAAACCTATAGACAAATTGACGCCTTCTTTCGCATTCGGACACGAAAAAGATATATTTATACATACGTCTTGCATAGAAATGAGACAGAGTGGTGTGATTGTTTGTCCCTTTCTCCGTGTCGGTTTTTTTGTTTAGCAAACTACACTTTGCTAAACAACTTTGACAATTCGTAGCGATCTAAGGAGTTTACAAGTTGGTTTAAGTGAGAAAAAAGTGTGTGGAATGTTGATAGCGTGATTTGCGGCTTTGCGGCTTTGCGGCTTCGGTTTATTTCGCTTGTGGCGCGACGACAGCGCCGCCACAAGTATTTTGTGAGCTTAAGATTGGTGAATCTTGTTCAGTTCAGTTCTTAGAACAATTAAATTTTTTATCTAAATATGTTTAAAAGTCGTAAAGATATTGTATAACCTAAAACTACGTTATCGTCCTTTCTCACTCGAGGCCACGCTAATCATTAGTCTATATGTTTCTCTGTCTACGCTATAGACCAATTTTTTAGTATGGAAGGTGGTCGTCTGTACGTTAGTATTCTATTAGTTTGTGAAGGTGATCGCTACCAAGCTATGTCTAATTTGTTTTGTGTTCTAGATTGTAAATCATGCGTGTTACAATTTTCAAACAAGTCCCGTTGGGTTTCTTGCTGGTTCTACCCAGGACAGAGGTTTTTTTTTGCGAACCAGTGGTAAATGTAAAAAGTGACTTTCAGTAAGTATTATTCATATTCTGTATTAAATAAAAAAGTTTCTGTTTCGAGAGCTTACTGTGCGTAATTTTGTGATTTTGTGTATGTGTTCTTATTTTGTAACTCGGCTTTAACTTTTTGGACTGTTTCTTCTATATTCGTTGAAGCATGTGCCAACGTCACAAAAGATGATTGGGCAAAGGTGGTAGAAAAAACAAAAAAAAATTATTATGGATGGCTTTGAAAGAGACAAAAGAGAAAATCAAATAAATGCATACATAAACACTCACGCCTGTCAGAGGGGTAGGCAGAGACTACAGACTTCCATTTGGCACGATCCTGACACACCTCTCTCGCCTCCTTCACATCCATACACCTACGCATACATGCTCGTCGGTTAAGGGTACTCCTAATTTGGCCCGTTTTCAATAAATCGCCAATTTGGTCGATAAATTTTCGCCTAGGACGTCCCTTTCCGACTCTGCCATTCACTTCTGCAACATAAATTTTCTTTGTCAGTCTTTCCTCATCCATTCTTTCCACATGACCAAACCACCGAAGCATTCCTTTCTTAATCCTGGTCACAACATCATCTTGCAAACCACACTCTTCTCTTATTACACAATTTCTTAACCCTGTCATTCAGATTCAGCCCTAACATAATCCTTAACGACCGCATTTCTACTGCGTTCATTCTACTCTCGTGCTTCTTCTGCCACACCCAACTTTCACTACCATACGTTAAAGTAGGGACCAACACAGCACTGTGAATTGCCATACGTGCCTTTTTCGACACATTTTGACTCTTCACAATAGAGTGTAGGGCCCCATTTACTCTATTTCTCGCATTCACTCGTCGTTCTCTATCCTTATCATATCTCCCATCCCTGCTAAATACGCAGCCCAAATATACAAACTCGTCTACTTGCTCGATCAACTCCCCTTCTATTCTTATTTCACAAATCGTTTTACTTTCTTCTCTTTCAAAAACCATAACCTTCGTCTTACTTG